CCAGCGACAAACCAGCGTCAAGCTAGCGACAAGCGTCGAAAGCGGTATTCGCCACGAGTATACGCTAATAAGAGCAAACCCGTGTCTAGAAGAAGTTCTTAGTAGCGAATTTGCTATGACGTCATTAGATGCGGCTTCTAGCGAATAAAAGTCGCCCGTGTAAATCACGCTTAAGCAAGTTCGAGTTCAATAATAAATTCATAGCAGAAGCTTGGTGAAGAAAACTTCTTGTAAAGAAGAAATTACGAATAGAAACTTTACTATATTTTATATAATTATGAAAAACAGTCACAGGAATTAGTTGAAACTTTCACTCCGATTTTATTTTTCCCTGTCTCTTATGTTTTAACAAGGAGCTACTAAACGTGTATAACTGAGGACAATGTTCTGTCTCAGCCGTAATAACTGTCATAATTATAATTATAATTACATAATTATATACATACACTTTTGTGCCTAAATCTGACTTGAGTTACAGTGGCTATCAAAAAGTAACCACTTTCGATCAACATATAATTTTACAATAATTTTTGTCAACCTATTTCTTAATTTATAATTTGATAAAATTATTGTTTATAAGGGACACGTATTTTTTTTACTAAATATTTTCATGTAAATATATATGTTTCTGTTTCTGAAAAAAATGTCTCTGAAAATTAAAAAATTAAGTAGTAGAATGACATCAAAATATGACATAATGACATCTATTTTGATCTACAAGACGTCACTTTGTTATTTAGGAAACATAATTTAATATTTTACGTTTCAAGCTTCATAGGTGTATTATTTGCGCGCCTGACTCTAAACGCCCTTATTCTTTCCAATTCTTTAATATTTTACTTCTCAATTGTGCTACGAAGAGTTCAAAAAGACCCTGTATGTATACGCGCGCGTATGATTATAATCTTTACATTTTACAGCAGATGTTCCAAGAAGAGATCATATTAGGAGCTCACCGAGTATTATGGAGGCATTTGCTCGCTGGACAAGCTTATCCACAGTGTTCTTGAACTCCTTGGATTCTTTAATCCTGATTTGCGCTCGGAACACTTCACCTAGGCGCGGTCTGCCCAACAGTGCCATTTTCTCCTCTTCCGTTCTCTCCTCCGGCTGCTTCAGCTCCGCCGCTGCAGCGATTCCTGCTTCCGCTGAAACCAGAAAATCGCATCTTGCTACTTTAATAATGTCGGGACACGTTCTATAACAGAATAAGTGGGAAGCCGATTCATGGTCAGATAAGAACAGCGAAACAGTTTCTGTTAATTAACAGTTTTAATTAATTCCAGTCTGGCATAATAAATATGCGAGTCATATCGTTGTAAACTTCTTTACAGGATATTTTTGGATATCGAATGACCCATTTTTGCGTTTGCAAAATGCTGAAAGTTTTAAGTACCTCCAAGAAGAGAGTTTTAACATCGAGGAACATTAAGATACGGACAGTTTTGAACCAAGTTAAATTGAGGCAATTTTAAGACAAGTTATTTAAAAAATATACAATAACTCTTATATTATATAAAGTTATAAAATTGTATATAGAGCACATTTTACTTAGACTTTAAAAATTATTATTAACTATTCTTTAAAAATATTTTATTTTTTGTTCAGATAATATTTTCTCAAAAAATCACGATATTATTTTTAATATAATATTGTTATTATTTTTATTTCTTCTATTCATATATTGCTGATTTATATTATTGGTTGCTAAATATTCTGTTTAACTCTTCCAGTTTGGCATATTAAGTTATATATAAAAAATCTATGAGAAATGATGTAACGAAAATATAGATGTAAAGAAAGGTTAAATAAAATTTTTAGTATCAATTGTTAAAGATAAACTCACGCTACTCTATAAAGATCGATTGTGTGAAAGCAATATTGGACAAGATTGATTGATCAATGTCCTCCATATGAATCCATTAAAATAAACCTCAAACATAGAAGACGAGCGCGACAAATAGTCGCTTTCTCATGTGGTCATGACTTTATTATCGATTGGTCTCATGAATTATAGTCGCACACCTCCCTTAAGCTAATTCCGCGGTGCTTCGTACTCCGTGTCTGACCACGCATCGACTCACATCACTTGCATTAACACTTTTCTACTAGCGCAAAGTGTGAAACTAATTCAGCCTAGAAGAAAAATATTGTTCTATGTGGCTGCATACACAAATATGGAATGATAAGTATGAATACGATGTATTCATTTTATTATCGTTACGCAGTTAGTACGGCAATTAGTTTCGACAAAAGTACATTTCGAGCCATGTTATTTCGTTATCTGAAGAAATGTTAATATATAAAGAGGGATATATATATATTAAGTATCCAGATACGTTATTCATGTAACGATAAAAATTTCTACAATGCAATATGTATTGACGATTTTACACAAAGTGTGTTTGCTGCGCTATCGATGCATGAATAATACTCAATGACCACATTTATCTCCGTCATCGAGGGATGATCGATACTTTACACCGGGTGTTTCGATCGATGATGAATAACGCATTTATTGTTGGTATCTCCTGTCTACAGTCGTGATGGTATATGGTCGTATTTCATCGAAAAAATAAAAAACCGAATATATAAATCTGAAATGCGAATAAATCTGAAATGTGTTAAAATAAGAGACAGCTAAGAAATAAAAAAGAAATAGAGAGCAAAAAAAATTATTATTATTATTAAAAGGAAACGTTGTTATACATAGATAAAAGAGAATAAAAACATAGAATATAAAAAGAATTTGCATTAAAATACAAAATTTTAATAAATTAATATATATGTAATTTCTTAAAAAATCCAAAATTATATTTAAAAATTTATTTTATTTAAGATCGTTTACAAAAAGTTCTTAGATCAATTTTTACTTCTACACCTTTTAACATGAAAAAACAATCAGTGGATACACTTTTTCTGTAAATGATTAGTTATATCTCAATCACACAACAGAAAAGTTAAAAGATCTTTATTAGAAAAATGTGTTACTTCTTTATCCAGAAAATTTCCTAGAAACATCCTTTCGTAAGCGGATATAAATTTATTTGCCTTGGCTTTCACTAGGTGTTCTAATGTTACTCCACATAAAAGCTTCTTATAGTTCATATCTCGACTAAAGCTCTGGGAGTTAGCTCCCCGTATTGGCAAATTCAATTTTGCTTGACTTTTGCTTGATTTAGGATAGATATATCAACTGTTATCTCCTATAATACCCTCCCTAAACTTCGCGAAAAGTATTTTGTTAAATCGCTATAATATTACCAATATAATTTAAGGATTAAATACAACAATGACAGCAATAATAAAAATATTCGATGTTTTATTATATTTGTAAACAGTTTTTGACACTTTGTCGGATAAGCGGAAAACAATCTTTTACAATACGCGATAATCTGAAACATGAAGCAAAACAATAAACATAATTTCTATAATACCGGTAGTTATATAATAACAATAAAATAATAATATAATATTACATTCAAAATTACAACTATTACATTTACAAAACAATGTTGCCATTTGTAAAATAATAATAACAATCCGTTATTGAGGTACGGTTTTATCATCGTATAGTATTTCCAATACAAAATAAATCTGCCGTTTACTATCTACTTTTTCGTGTTTTTTATACGTTTAATTTTATTTTTGCAAAAACACTTCAGACAGATTGGTTTAAGGATTTTGTACGCTTTCAACATATACAAAAATCGAAGAAGAAAGTTTTTAGAAATTTTAGCATAAAACCGATTTCTTGCTATGATTAGAGCAACAAAATCAAGATTAGAGTAATAAATCAGTACCTATAAAGAGTACTAAATTCTCTGTACGTCTCCTGATTCTGCTCATGTTAGCATGCTAACTTTTTAGATATGATAAAGTCATTCATAACTGTCGGATCTAAAATGTATTCAAAAATAAAATCGTCGGAAAAATATTTTGTAAAGTAAATTATTCAATGTATATAAATAAATAAATAATGATAAAGGTATTTGAGATACGACATTTCATAATCTTCTCTTCTGAAAATTAATTAATTTTAATTTTCATAGACAATAATTAGAAAAGACAATCAAGATTGCTGTAAATTTGTTTTTCAAAGCCATGTTTAATGCGTCGTTGAATGTTGAATCTCATTCGAACAAAGGAATACAATTTAACAACGGAAAGGGAGAACAAGAGATTAAAATGAGGGTCGTTTCTGACTCATTGTCAGACACAGATAAGATCAATAAACGATCGACCGATGAACGCCAGATGCAGTCGGGATGCAATTTATTACGCTCGAAATATGTTTGAAAAAACTGGCGCGTTAAATTTGAGGTGAAGGAAATGTAATTTGCCTCAGGAATTATTCTATGTTTTGCTTTCTAACGTAATTTTGCTTAGTTAGCGTTATGTATATCTCAATATTCCTTTGCTTGAATATACATATATAGTAGTGTGTTGCGGTGCATTTTAAATGAATTGCATTCTGTCACAGTGAAATTAGCTCATATATATACATTCTACATGCTCGCATGAAAATATAAGTATATTATTAATCTCATGTACTAATTTCACATAAAGTTTAAGATATATCCCAAAATTTTGCATAAAGTTTATACAAAAAGTTAAGATAATCTTAGTTTTAAAACTTATTTATTTTCTTTATTTATATATTTACTTATTTATTGGTAGATAAATAAAAAAATCCGTTTCAGTTTTAGCTTTAATTATTTAAAATCCCTTTAGTTTGTTACTTTTTAGGTTAAAATATAACGTTTTTGCTATTGACTTTCATAAGGTATACTCTTTTTTGTTATAGTAATGACTGTATGGATAATAGATCAATAAATGAGATAATTTATTCAAACTAAATAAAAAATGCAAAATGAATCTTTTAAAAACCTTTTTATTTTTTATGTATTATAAGAAATAAATTACTTTCATTTTTTATCTGTTAAGAACTTGAAATATTATTTGAGTCGCTTAAAATAAATAATTAAAAGTAAAAGTAATCATGAATATTTATAAACAGAAAGAGAATTGTACTATTCTTTTATTGGGTGAGCTTTGCAATCGAAAAATTGCTACGCTATTGCAAAACTGGGACACGATGATTGAATACAAGCATTGATAACTAAATATGGTCCTGACTTTTCCATCAGAATTTTAAACTTGATTGGGGACGGCAAGTCAGAAATAGATGACTGCGGAAAATCTCGTCTCATTTTGCAAAGTTTTTTTAACTTACGAAGGTTTAACTTACGAACGGTAGTAGAATTTTCACGAGTGCTTCTCAATCAAAATGTCGAAATTATCGGAAAACATAAAGAATGGTAGGCGGAAGCAAACGAAAAATTCAGTATACGAATGTAGTAAATCTTTCTCCAAATTTTTTTAAAATTTCAGAGATCTATTTATAAGAAATATATACGTTTATAAGTTAAAAGATTTTAATCTTTTCGAAAAAAATTAAAGACTAAAAGTAATTAAAAATTTTTAATTATAATAATATATTTTTTTAGTTAAAAGATTATGGACTGTTTGATAATAGTAAATTACAGAAAATAATTAATATTCTGTAAATGAGCAATAAATAAAACATAAGAAATAGCAAAGAACTTAAAAGTCTTTACTATTATATATATTAACACATCAATAAAAACGGTCGTATCGCGTGCAGCAAGCAACGAGGCAAATCGGTATTTATGCGTGAGCTGTCAAGTTGAAAGTACTTTAGATTACCGTATCTCAGAAACGCCAATTGAGTTTCTAATAAGTTTAATCGATAGCCGCGGTTTCGATTATACTACGAACATGCTTTAACTCCACATTCTATTCGAGTGGATATGAGTGGAGATATTGCAACGCTAAGTCCGAAATAGGAAATTATGAAACGTCGTTATTGTACTGATTACCGCAGATAAAACGTTCTTCTTCAATTTCTAACACAAGGTTAGACTAGGAGTGATTGAAACAATCTTGATACTGTCACATATATGTGTCAGAGATAATAATCGTCAGAATAATATGGTTAACCTCCAAGAATTTAATCGTGACAGATATTTCAGCAAAACTCTACATATTAACGTTTATATATTCCAATTGTTGTAAAAATTATATAATTATTTGCAAAAGTTGTATGATTATTTGAAGTAG